GAGTAAGTGATGTATGTAGCATTGAGTCAGTGATGTATGTAGATAGAGTAAGTGATGTATGTAGATAGAGTAAGTGATGTATGTAGATAGAGTAAGTGATGTATGTAGATAGTCAGTGATGTATGTAGATAGAGTAAGTGATGTATGTAGATAGAGTAAGTGATGTATGTAGATAGAGTAAGTGATGTATGTAGATAGAGTAAGTGATGTATGTAGATAGAGTCAGTGATGTATGTAGATAGAGTAAGTGATGTATGTAGATAGAGTAAGTGATGTATGTAGATAGAGTCAGTGATGTATGTAGATAGAGTCAGTGATGTATGTAGATAGAGTCAGTGATGTATGTAGATAGAGTCAGTGATGTATGTAGATAGAGTCAGTGATGTATGTAGATAGAGTCAGTGATGTATGTAGATAGAGTCAGTGATGTATGTAGATAGAGTCAGTGATGTATGTAGATAGAGTCAGTGATGTATGTAGATAGAGTCAGTGATGTATGTAGATAGAGTCAGTGATGTATGTAGATAGAGAAGTGATGTATGTAGATAGAGTCAGTGATGTATGTAGATAGAGTCAGTGATGTATGTAGATAGAGTCAGTGATGTATGTAGATAGAGTCAGTGATGTATGTAGATAGAGTAAGTGATGTATGTAGATAGAGTAAGTGATGTATGTAGATAGAGTCAGTGATGTATTGTAGATAGAGTCAGTGATGTATGTAGATAGAGTAAGTGATGTATGTAATAGAGTCAGTGATGTATGTAGATAGAGTAAGTGATGTATGTAGATAGAGTCAGTGATGTATGTAGATAGTCAGTGATGTAAGTAGATAGAGTCAGTTGATGTATGTACATAGAGTCAGTGATGTATGTAGATAGAGTAGGTGATGTATGTAGATAGTCAGTGATGTATGTAGATAGAGTAAGTGATGTATGTAGATAGAGTAAGTGATGTATGTAGATAGAGTAAGTGATGTATGTAGATAGAGTAAGTGATGTATGTAGATAGAGTCAGTGATGTATGTAGATAGAGTAAGTGATGTATGTAGATAGAGTCAGTGATGTATGTAGATAGAGTCAGTGATGTATGTAGATAGAGTCAGTGATGTATGTAGATAGAGTCAGTGATGTATGTAGATAGAGTCAGTGATGTATGTAGATAGAGTCAGTGATGTATGTAGATAGTCAGTGATGTATGTAGATAGAGTCAGTGATGTATGTAGATAGAGTCAGTGATGTATGTAGATAGTCAGTGATGTATGTAGATAGAGTCAGTGATGTATGTAGATAGAGTCAGTGATGTATGTAGATAGTCAGTGATGTATGTAGATAGAGTCAGTGATGTATGTAGATAGAGTCAGTGATGTATGTAGATAGAGTCAGTGATGTATGTAGATAGAGTCAGTGATGTATGTAGATAGAGTCAGTGATGTATGTATATAGAGTAAGTGATGTATGTAGATAGAGTCAGTGATGTATGTAGATAGAGTCAGTGATGTATGTAGATAGAGTAAGTGATGTATGTAGATAGAGTCAGTGATGTATGTAGATAGAGTAAGTGATGTAAGTAGATAGAGTCAGTGATGTATGTAGATAGAGTCAGTGATGTAAGTAGATAGAGTCAGTGATGTTATGTAGATAGAGTAAGTGATGTAAGTAGATAGAGTAAGTGATGTATGTAGATAGAGTCAGTGATGTATGTAGATAGAGTCAGTGATGTAAGTAGATAGAGTCAGTGATGTATGTAGATAGAGTAAGTGATGTATGTAGATAGAGTCAGTGATGTATGTAGATAGAGTAAGTGATGTATGTAGATAGAGTCAGTGATGTATGTAGATAGAGTAAGTGATGTATGTAGATAGAGTCAGTGATGTATGTAGATAGAGTCAGTGATGTAAGTAGATAGAGTCAGTGATGTATGTAGATAGAGTAAGTGATGTATGTAGATAGAGTCAGTGATGTAAGTAGATAGAGTCAGTGATGTATGTAGATAGAGTCAGTGATGTAAGTAGATAGAGTAAGTGATGTATGTAGATAGAGTAAGTGATGTATGTAGATAGAGTCAGTGATGTATGTATATAGAGTAAGTGATGTATGTAGATAGAGTCAGTGATGTATGTAGATAGAGTCAGTGATGTAAGTAGATAGAGTAAGTGATGTATGTAGATAGAGTAAGTGATGTATGTAGATAGAGTAAGTGATGTATGTAGATAGAGTAAGTGATGTATGTAGATAGAGTCAGTGATGTATGTAGATAGAGTAAGTGATGTATGTAGATAGAGTCAGTGATGTATGTAGATAGAGTAAGTGATGTATGTAGATAGAGTCAGTGATGTATGTAGATAGAGTCAGTGATGTATGTAGATAGAGTAAGTGATGTATGTAGATAGAGTAAGTGATGTATGTAGATAGTCAGTGATGTATGTAGATAGTCAGTGATGTATGTAGATAGAGTAAGTGATGTATGTAGATAGTCAGTGATGTATGTAGATAGAGTAAGTGATGTATGTAGATAGAGTCAGTGATATATGTAGATAGAGTCAGTGATGTATGTAGATAGTCAGTGATGTATGTAGATAGAGTCAGTGATGTATGTAGATAGTCAGTGATGTATGTAGATAGAGTCAGTGATGTATGTAGATAGAGTCAGTGATGTATGTAGATAGTCAGTGATGTATGTAGATAGAGTCAGTGATGTATGTAGATAGAGTAAGTGATGTATGTAGATAGAGTCAGTGATGTATGTAGATAGAGTAAGTGATGTATGTAGATAGAGTCAGTGATGTATGTAGATAGAGTAAGTGATGTATGTAGATAGAGTCAGTGATGTATGTAGATAGAGTCAGTGATGTAAGTAGATAGAGTCAGTGATGTATGTAGATAGAGTAAGTGATGTATGTAGATAGAGTCAGTGATGTAAGTAGATAGAGTCAGTGATGTATGTAGATAGAGTCAGTGATGTAAGTAGATAGAGTAAGTGATGTATGTAGATAGAGTAAGTGATGTATGTAGATAGAGTCAGTGATGTATGTATATAGAGTAAGTGATGTATGTAGATAGAGTCAGTGATGTATGTAGATAGAGTCAGTGATGTATGTAGATAGAGTCAGTGATGTATGTAGATAGAGTAAGTGATGTATGTAGATAGAGTCAGTGATGTATGTAGATAGAGTAAGTGATGTATGTAGATAGAGTCAGTGATGTATGTAGATAGAGTCAGTGATGTATGTAGATAGAGTAAGTGATGTATGTAGATAGAGTAAGTGATGTATGTAGATAGTCAGTGATGTATGTAGATAGTCAGTGATGTATGTAGATAGTCAGTGATGTATGTAGATAGAGTAAGTGATGTATGTAGATAGAGTCAGTGATGTATGTAGATAGAGTCAGTGATGTAAGTAGATAGAGTCAGTGATGTATGTAGATAGTCAGTGATGTATGTAGATAGTCAGTGATGTATGTAGATAGAGTAAGTGATGTATGTAGATAGAGTAAGTGATGTATGTAGATAGAGTCAGTGATGTATGTAGATAGAGTAAGTGATGTATGTAGATAGTCAGTGATGTATGTAGATAGAGTAAGTGATGTATGTAGATAGAGTCAGTGATATATGTAGATAGAGTCAGTGATGTATGTAGATAGTCAGTGATGTATGTAGATAGAGTCAGTGATGTATGTAGATAGTCAGTGATGTATGTAGATAGAGTCAGTGATGTATGTAGATAGAGTCAGTGATGTATGTAGATAGAGTCAGTGATGTATGTAGATAGAGTCAGTGATGTATGTAGATAGAGTCAGTGATGTATGTAGATAGAGTCAGTGATGTATGTAGATAGAGTCAGTGATGTATGTAGATAGTCAGTGATGTATGTAGATAGAGTCAGTGATGTATGTAGATAGAGTAAGTGATGTATGTAGATAGAGTAAGTGATGTATGTAGATAGTCAGTGATGTATGTAGATAGAGTAAGTGATGTATGTAGATAGAGTCAGTGATGTATGTAGATAGAGTAAGTGATGTATGTAGATAGTCAGTGATGTAGGTAGATAGAGTAAGTGATGTATGTAGATAGTCAGTGATGTAGGTAGATAGAGTAAGTGATGTAGGTAGATAGTCAGTGATGTAGGTAGATAGAGTCAGTGATGTATGTAGATAGAGTAAGTGATGTATGTAGATAGAGTCAGTGATGTATGTAGATAGAGTCAGTGATGTATGTAGATAGTCAGTGATGTATGTAGATAGAGTCAGTGATGTATGTAGATAGAGTAAGTGATGTATGTAGATAGAGTCAGTGATGTATGTAGATAGAGTAAGTGATGTATGTAGATAGTCAGTGATGTATGTAGATAGAGTCAGTGATGTATGTAGATAGTCAGTGATGTATGTAGATAGTCAGTGATGTATGTA